TTGATAATAATAATCGCGACAAAAATAGTACAAATCGCCTTATTTGGCGCCAAAAAAAGGATTTTTGTCTCATGTGGACGGTGGGGTTTACTAAGCCTCGTGCCGCTACAACCTCTGGTTCAGAACGAGGTTTCAAACGTCTCGTAACGCAATAATGGAAAGTACAGATAAATCATTGCCGCTGGGAACGTGTAGATCAACTAATTTGAAACTACACGCGCTTCCCTTTCATTTTTTAGGTTTTATCACATTTTACGAGGTCATAAAAATTTAACTCTGCGCACCCTTTCTACTGATTTTAGCAGTTATACTACATTTGAGTGACAACATCTACCAAAATATAAGCTTTAAAATTTACAATCTCAACTTGCACTTACAAATTAAAGTGAAATACCTATCTATTGACTAATTTTACAATAAAAAACGTTAATCCTGGTCCTACATCGCAACTTTTTGTGAACTATCGGCGGGGATTACGTGATCTGAAGTAAAGCTCAAATGGAATTCCATTTTATAATTTTCTCCGATTTCCAGATAGGAGACCTTCTCTCATTTTCTTACTCGAGTTACGAGTACTTGAGTTGTGATGGCATACGGATTGTGGTTACTTTTGGCTGAAGTCGGTGGACTCATAAAAATCAGATTGAAAGTTTTGAGCAAGGAATCTTACATTGCCGTATATCGATAAGAAAATGTCGATTCGTTTTAAGTCATCATCACTTCTGCATCAATTGAAGTTGATTAAGTTAAGTTTTCTTAACAAACATTAACAGACGAGGTCTATTATGCTTTTGTTTTTAGTTAAGGGGCGTGAAGTGGGGCCACAAAGGGGCAGGGGCTATAGTGTACAGTGGATACAATAAGGACAATTATTATTTTAAGAAACTTGTTTTTTTATAGAATAAACGTTACAAACCGGCTCGCAGTACAACTGATGGTAAGTGAATGCTGTAGGCCGTAGACATTTACATGTAGTCTCAAAAATTTATAAAATGTAGATGCGTTACCGCTCCTAAGTAATAAGATGCAATACCTCGTTTCCAGTTAAAGGGGTCTTCTAAACTAATCATACGTAACATTGCAGCATTAAGCTGCTATTTTACGCTAATATTCTGTCTCACGGAATGCGTGGTTTTTTCCCGGTCGAGCCAACCCATTTGTGCTACAACTATAATATACCTGCAGCGTTGCTCTACTACGTGTTATATGTACACAACTAATTAGCTTATATTTAGCTCTCTTACGGCCTGATGAAGAATCGATCGACTTCGATTGCAGTATTATAATTATATCGCAAATGGTAAGGGGACTAAGAATAAAAACGCGGATACTATGCGAACGCTGAGGACTAATAGGAATTGTCCCCCCCCCCCCCGTGATCATGGGTGCTGTAAAGCGCTCGAAACGTCGGGTATTTATAGTTAAATATACGCGATAAAATCCGTAAAAACTAGTATTATTTCAATGTGTAGTGTTCGCGTAAATATAAGAAATCACTAATAGAAATTTCTTGTTACCGATAACGAAAATAAAATGGCTCTTTGACTTTAATTAATCAACCTACTATACTCAATGATTTATATATTTTTAGAACTTAAACAACGATTTTTGTGAAAAATAAAATATTTGGAAGACATGTGAAGTTCGCCAACACGCATTTGGACAGCGCGGCGGACATTTCCTTGCCCAAAAACTCTCTCGGAAATGAGAGGAGGCCTGTGCCCAGCAGTGGTATACATATAGGCTGTAACTTATATTAATAATGATTTTTTATCATAATCTTAAATATTTTCAGAACAGCTCCAATGAACCTGAAGAAGCTTGTTTTAGGAGTGGTCCAAGACAGAAGGTGAATGGCGGTACGAACCAAGTGCATTTTAAGTTTGCATTCAGTACCCCCAACCATTAGGATACTTTCATATAGGGCTGGAATTTCTTATATAATATTAACCTTCTTTCTTCGATCTAATTAAAAAAATGTAATATAAATTATAATCTGACTGATTAACAATCAAAATTGGTTTACCCAGAAAAGTTCTGATTACCTCCTCTTTTTTGAAGTCGGTAAATAAAAAACATAAAATTTATACTAAAAACCCATTTAATATTGCCTAATAAAACATGTTATATTTTTAATTAATATATTACCATAATTTTTCATGTGTTTTTGGTGTTTTTGTGCTATGTAACATTTTGATGAGCAAACATTGAACACAATTTTAGCAGTGGAGAAACTAAGATATATTGGTGTACTAAATATAAACGATAATAACATTAAGTAAACAAACAGAAGATAGAATAAGCAACATAGTAACTTGGCAGCGGTCACTATTACGTGTGTACATATGTATGTATCAACGAATAAGGACGTCGCAGCTATCTCAGTGTACGAGTCGGGTAGAGTCGAGATGAGATTAGCGCCGAATTCAGTTTTGGAGTCCGCTTTTAGTTTGTTTGCGATGCCCCGACTTAACAATGTAATGTTTTGACATAGTTGCTTGGAATTGTGGCATTATATAGTTTTAAATGATAAAAGTTTTAAGCTGAATCTTGCAAGCTCTCATTCTGTATATAGTTTCTGTATATTCTAAATTATTTATAAAAAATAATAATTTTTCTATATAGAACGATAAGCACAGACAAACGAGTACCGAGGCCAAATGATGGTTATAAGTCGCGGTATTACTTAGACACCTTAGACACCCCGTTATCAGTTAGAAGGATCTCGCGTATTCTATTCTCATTTTATGAAACACCGAGAATTAAGCTGCTATTTTACGCTGGTATACTGTAAGAGTGTGATCCTTCCCCGGTCGAGCCGAGCCATTCGTGTGGTCGAGCCTTCCTGTAGCTTACAACGCTGTAGATTAAATCACGTTTGTAACGTGATTGTAACCTCAAAATTTAAGGGAAGCTCAGCTGTGACCTTACTTTTAAAATAAGTTAATCTTCTTTTATAAATAATAATAATAATAATAAGGTTTCCACGGCTGGACGCGCTACTGGCCATAGTAGCGCTATCCCAGCATGGAGAAGAAGAATTGAGGAACGTATCGCAAAGGCTAGAGCTCTCATCGGCAGACTGATATGCTTCAGATCAGGCAACAACAGGCCAAGAATTGTGCGCACCGTCAGGATGGCGTTTGCTAGGACAAATGTCAGTTTGTCCCAGCCGGATATAATGCAAAAACTGACGGAGCGCATAGACGGCAGTGCAGAGCATTTCCGACCGGGAGACCGTATGGAAGGAGAAGGAGCTCCACGGGAGGTTCTACAAGGCTCTACATGAGCCTTTCGTAGACACAGTAGCCTCCCTCCACTGGCTACGCTTTGGTGATCTCTTCGGGGAAACCGAGGGTTTTGTCTGTGCAATACAGGATCAGGTTATTAAGACCAACAACTATCGGAGATACATCCTAAAGGATGGCACCGTCGACATCTGTCGAGCTTGTCGCCATCCTGGTGAGTCACTTAGGCATGTTATCTCCGGTTGTTCGGCGCTTTCTAACTCTGAGTACTTGCACAGGCACAACCTAGTAGCCAGAATTCTACACCAGGAGCTCGCTCTGAAATACGGTCTCGCGGATCGGAAATTGCCGTATTACAAGTACTTGCCGGAAGCCGTGCTCGAAAATGATCGCGCCAGGCTCTATTGGGACCGGGCCATCATCACAGACAGGACTATTCTTGCGAATAAGCCTGATATTGTGCTGATGGACCGGGCACAGTCAAGGATATTTTTGGTCGACATTACCATTCCGTATGACAAGAACCTCGTGAAAGCCGAAATAGACAAGCAAACAAAATATCTGGACCTGGCTCACGAGGTGACCGACATGTGGGGTGCTCTGCCGACCGAAATTATTCCTGTGGTCGTCTCTGCAAACGGGCTAATCCCAGTCAGCCTCTCGGGTCATCTGAGGCGGCTGGGACTACGTGGCGGACCGCTCCAGGTTCAAATGCAGAAGGCGGTGCTCCTCGATACCGCCCGCATCGTCCGCCGGTTTCTTTCCTTTCTCCCCTAACCCTCGGCCGTTTGGTCTCCCCTGCCGAGGGCCTCCATCTGGTTGGGCTTTTATTTATTTATGTACTTTTATATTTATTTTATGTTATTGGTATTTATGTATATTTATCTTTTCATTTTCATTTATAATTATATATTTATAGAAACCCAACTAGGTGAGAAAATTATATACAAAAAATAAAAAACACTCAAAAACGAAAATTTTCCAATTAAGGATGATTACAGCCTCAATACATACATACTACTTTATCAGCTTACTATAAAAACTTATTACACAAACACAAAGATTGATATTCATCATCATCATCATTACGATCCTACGTCCACTCTCCACACGACAGATACTCCAAATAATAATAATAATAAAAAGGCGTAGGGAAGTGACGACCCCATCGCCCGCTGATATAACGGTTATGTGACAAAACCGCTACGTCGGCGCAGTCAGTCAGCACCTTGCCAAGAGGTGTTAGTGCCGTGCCTCGGCAAAAATTGAAGGTGCCAAGGCCCGCTTGTGCACATGGCCTAACCATGAAACGGCGCCGGGTCTGGGCGTCTCCCGCTAAATGACGCCCTAAAATGGATGATGGAATCAAATGGAACGCGCAAAGGGCCGCTGCCTGGAGGTCGCCAGGGCGCGTCTGGAGCTGGCGCTGGACGCGACAGTATGCGAACCGCCAGCCGAGCGCGAGGTGCTGCACGACCACCCAGCAGCTCCTCGCATCCATCATCCCCACCAGCAGGTTTGGTGTCGGCAGGGCCTTCGCGGGCTCAGCAATCGGCACCCGCCACTGGTGGAGTACGCCGCATGCGTTGGACAACCCTGATGAACAGCAACGCATTGCGGGCGTATTTTAGGGCGAAGGGGGGAGAAACTGGAGGTTTTGCGTATCGGGCAAGGATGCATCGACTTTTTGCTTAGCTGGAGCCATCTGTAACCGTCACCGAGCAAAACCTGGCAGACCGAATTCGGTATATCTTGCGCTCAAATACATTTGATGTCACCGAACTCGAACGGCTACGACGTGAGGCTGTTCCTTCATCGGGTGAAAATGCTGCGGCTGAGGATGCGGCGCCACAACTTGCCGAGCAAACGGCAAATGTGGATGCCGCCGTGAATACGCCAGTTGTGGTTGATTCAAACGATGATGGAACAGTCGCCCAGGAACTGGAACTAGAGCAAATGAGGAGTACATTGGAAGAGGCGATTGTGAAAACGCGCAGTACGACTCTCGAAAATCGACCGCGACTTCCCCGCTTAGCCCTAAGCAAGCGGAATCGGGCTGTCGTGAGGGCTCTAAACCCAATGCTGGTTACCTATTTGGAAGCCAGCCGGGACCTTTGCGAGACGGACTCAATTCTTTTTGGCGCTGCACTGGCAGTCTGCCGTATTATAGGTGCCAAACTTTCCACGGCTGGACGCGCTACTTGACAAAGTAGTGCTATCCCAGCCTGGAGAATAAGAATTGAAGAACGTATCGCAAAGGCTAGGGCCCTCATCGGCAGACTGATATGCTTCAGGTCAGGCAATACCAGGCCAAGGATTGTGCGCACCGTCAGGATGACGTTTGCTGGGACAAATGTTAGTTTGTCCCAGCCGGATATAATGCAAAAACTGACGGAGCGCATAGACGACCTGAAGCAAAGAATAGCTGCTTGGGGAAAGCGAATTCGGCGATATACCGAGAGGTCGACACGGTTCAACCAGAATCGTCTCTTCCAGAGTGATCAGAAGAGGCTCTATAAATCAGGAATCATTGGAGCGACCAATAGTAAGTGGAACGGGCCCTGCACCAAATCAGGCCGACATGGTCGCATTCTGGCGCAGCCTGTGGTCAGAGCCCGTAAACCACAACGACGGCGCTTGGACGGAAGTTGTGGCGAGTCAGTGTGCGAGTATTACGCCCATGGACCCCGTCATCATAACGCCGGATGACGTAGCTGAGGCGGTCCGTAGGGCCCCGAACTGGAAAAGTCCGGGGCTTGACGACCTGCATCACTACTGGCTGAAGGGGTTCATGGTGTGTCACTCTGTGCTCGCCCGACAGTTTCAAGAGGCTCTCAACCAGAAGGCGCTCCCAAGCCTCTTCACTACTGGGATCACTCATTTGGTTCCTAAAGATCAGGGTGCCACAGACCCGAGCAAATACCGCCCCATCACGTGTCTACCGACCATATACAAGACACTAACATCCATTTTGAGCGCAAGAATCGCTCGTCACCTGGACTTAAATCAGGTGATGTCGCGCGCTCAAAATGGATGTCGGGGCGGCGGTCGTGGAACCAAGGAACCACTCCTCATTGACGCGGTCATTGGCAAAGTGGTGAAACGCAACCGTCGGAACTTCTCCGCCGCCTGGATAGACTACAGAAAGGCATTCGACTCGGTGCCCCATACATGGCTAAAGAGGGTCCTCGAGCTGTACAAGATTGACTGTACAGTTAGAGACTTCCTCGAGCAGTGTATGGGGCAGTGGAGTACGATCCTCTGTCATCTGGGCGAGCGGATGACGGCTGCGGAGAACCACATAAGGATAAGAAGGGGTATATTCCAGGGCGACTGTCTGAGTCCAATCTGGTTCTGCCTCTCTCTGAACCCTCTCAGTACTTACTGGAGGGCTCCGGGAGGGGATTTCAGCTTCGGAAAGGAGGGACAAAAGTGACCCACCTTTTCTATATGGATGACCTCAAAGTATTCGCCTCCAGTCGCTCCCATCTTATGGAATTGCTAAACATCACGTGTGAATTTAGCAATTCCATTAGAATGGAGCTGGGATCGGATAAGTGTGCGATCCTCCATGTTGAAAGGGGAAGGGTCGCTAACTCTGAGGGCATAGACTTATCTATGCCCGTCAACTTAAGGACCCTTTCCGAGGCTGAAACATACCGATACCTGGGTATGTCACAGAACATCGGTATCGATGAGGCTGGTATGAAACAGTCAGTTTGCGACGTGTTTTATGCACGCTTGACCAGAGTGCTTAACAGCCTTTTGTCCGGTGTGAATAAGGCACACGCATATAACGGTTGGGTCATGCCTGTTCCTCATGTATACCTTTGGCATACTCAGGTGAACTCAGACTGAACTTAACGCCCTGGATAGAAAAGTCCGCACTACCATGACGTCCCATAGGATGCATATTCCGAGATCGTCGGTAATGAGGCTGTACTTGCCACGGAAGCATGGTGGGCGTGGCTTCCTGAGCGCGCTCACCATGCATAATCGCGAAGTGTGCAGCCTCCGTGATTACTTCCTGGCGAGATCGGATGATCCATTCCTATAAGGACGTCATTTCTTGTGATAAAGGACTTACCCCTCTATCCTTAGCCAACGAGCAATGGCAAGACCCGGAGAGCATTTCCGACCGGGAGACCGTATGGAAGGAGAAGGAGCTCCACGGGAGGTTCTACAAGGCTCTACATGAGCCTTTCGTAGACACAGTAGCCTCCCTCCACTGGCTACGCTTTGGTGATCTCTTCGGGGGAATCCGAGGGTTTTGTCTGTGCAATACAGGATCAGGTTATTAAGACCAACAACTATCGGAGATACATCCTAAAGGATGGCACCGTCGACATCTGTCGAGCTTGTCGCCATCCCGGTGAGTCACTTAGGCATGTTATCTCCGGTTGTTCGGCGCTTTCTAACTCTGAGTACTTGCACAGGCACAACCTAGTAGCCAGAATTCTACACCAGGAGCTCGCTCTGAAATACGGTCTCGTGGATCGGAAATTGCCGTATTACAAGTACTTGCCGGAAGCCGTGCTCGAAAATGATCGCGCCAGGCTCTATTGGGACCGGGCCATCATCACAGACAGGACTATTCTTGCGAATAAGCCTGATATTGTGCTGATGGACCGGGCACAGTCAAGGATATTTTTGGTCGACATTACCATTTCGTATGACGAGAACCTCGTGAAAGCCGAAACAGACAAGCAAACAAAATATCTGGACCTGGCTCACGAGGTGACCGACATGTGGGGTTGTCTGCCGACCGAAATTATTCCTGTAGTCGTCTCTGCAAACGGGCTAATCCCAGTCAGCCTCTCGGGTCATCTGAGGCGGCTGGGATTACGTGGTGGACCGCTCCGGGCTCAAATGCAGACGGCGGTGCTCCTCGATACCGCCCGCATCATCCGCCGGTTTCTTTCCCTTTCCCCCTAACCCTCGGCCGTTTTGTCTCCCCTGCCGAAGGTTCCCCCTGGTTGGATCTTATTTATTTATGTAGTTTTTGTATTTATTTTATTTTATTGATATTTATGTATATTTATCTTTTAATTTTAATTTATAATTATATATTTATAGAAACCAACTCGGTGAGAAAATTATATAGATACCCCAATTACAATAATAATAAAATCTTTATTCTCAGAAAACATGTAACAAAATTTTCCATATTAAGGATGATTACCGGCATCAATATACTAGTAACATACTGGTAGGATACGTTTGATCGTTAGCAGCTGTACTAGTTTTATATTAAAAACTGTATTACAGACGCTAATATCGGAAACACATGATTATGATTTGATATTCATCATCATCATCATTACGATCCTACAAAAGTCCACTGCTCAACATTAGCCTTACGCAAGGAATGCCACATAATACAGGCCTAAGCCACCGATATCCATCGACTTTCTTCAAGTCTTACCTGGTTGTGGTGCAAAGGATCTTGAGTGGCAACCTCCGTGCCTCCTTCCTTCTTGACGACTCCGTGGCGCAGTGGCTTAGCAATGAGTGGCTGCGCTGGGGGTCGCGGGTTCGAATCCCGCACGGAACAAGTATTTGTATGGCCTACATATAGTTGTTCCGGGTCTGGATGTTTGTCCTTGTGTAATCTATGTTTGTAAACTGCCCCCACGATACAAGAGAAAATCTTAGTGTAGGGGTAACGTTTTAAAAAAAACTAATAAAACTAATAATAACTAATAAAAACCTAGTACCATAAGCGAAGTGAGCGGCCCTTAACTAAATGAGGTGACGGCTGGGTGAGACATGCTTATGATATTAGTTAATAATTATTATGATATAAGATGCTAATAATTAAACATTCTCTATTTAGAAGTTGCGGCTGAGATATTAAATCCAAAGCAGGTACTGTGCGGAATTAATTAAGAGTCAATATCAGATTGCTCAATTAGCTAAGTGGTCATTGGGATACGATGGCTGTAGATATCGTGTCAGATTGTCAGTATGAAAACTTGACAGGCGACACCAGCAGTTGTACATATCAAAGAGAGTCCCTATTTTCATTACTTTGACGACGATTTCCGTGCGTTTTAATTCATACTACACCATTTATCTGGTTAATGTTGTTTTCCGTGTACGATAAAAGGTTTATATGAAAAAAGTTTTTCAGAGACTGGTCGGAGAACCTAATGAACCACTGCGGACGAGCGTTGATGGACTCCGTCAGGAGTGTTGTCCAATGCAATCGGCGACAGAGCCATAGAACAGAACACAATTGAACTTAGTCCTCCACTATAGATTGCCATAAAGCACGCCCGAGGCAATTGCATTCATTAACTGATTGTACGCGTTTGTTTATTGCTGTAAAAACACATATCCCCCCCTCTCCCTTTAGAAGCAATTAGATGGGGCATATGTTCACAAGTGGAGTATTGTTTGATTGACTGTATCGATAACGGTAATACAATCTTATCATAGTAATACTCCAAGAGGTCTTTTTTACGCACCACATCGAATCAATCTTTATACTAACTACAAGATTATTAAAAGAAATGATAATAATCTGAATGTTGAAAGAAATAAAGTTATCCGGTAGCCAACTATTCAAAGCGAGGACTTGATTAAAGCAGCCAATTCATATTCTCTTTGTGCTGATCCCAATCAAAGGTTGGTAGACAAAAATGAAAAACGTACAAGACTCGTGATTAGCTGACTGGCAGAGAATAATAAAAATAAATCTATGAATATTCAAGTGCAGTTTGTATATCGTCGGTAGATATCGGGGAATACTATGTAAATGTCTTCCGTTCGAAATTCATTGCATATTTTGATGAAGTAATATTAAGTAGTGGTCGCCTATTATTTGTATATTAAGCAAGCTCTATTTTACTTTCAATGCTTATTAATATTTTAAACACAGGTATTTAGTGTACAAAGTTTAAAATAAATGCTTTTTTGCTTTGCATGTCAAGTCATTCCACATACTATTAAAAAAGAAACCACACAAAATTCGCAGCTTATATAGTCAATGTGTTCTTATGGGCCTAAATCTCTACTCTGTGCGACTATTTGATGACAGGCTGTTAAGTGTTTGACATTGGCTTTAGATTGATATCATACTTATGCCTGTACTTTAAGAGATTGGTGGTTTAAACGTCATCGACGTCAATTATAATGTGTTTGACATTAGCAGTGTAATCGTAAACGCACGTATGTTTTATTTTAATTAATTTCATGTATTTGTAACAATATAAATTACAGCTTTCTGCACTCCTTTTCCATATAAATTAAAACTTTGCCTTTGTTACTTTTTCGTGCAATGTGCTTTAAAAGGAGTACAAAGTATAGTTATATTAATAGTATAGTTGTAGCACAAATGGGTCCGCTCGACCGGGGAAAGACCACACTCTCATAGAATACCAGCCTCAAAAAGAAGCTTAACGCTGCTGTGTTTCGTTTGGTGAGTGTAGAGAACAGGAGACCCTTTTCACTGGGAACGAAGCATTCCATCTTAGTCCTCACGGATGACAACGCATCTGCATTTTGATTCGTTACTGAGGATAGATGTAGATGTCTATAGGCCTCCGTATCTACTTACCATCAGGTGGACTCTGTGCTTGTTTGTCACCCCCATCCTATAAAATAAAATCTTGCTACATAGAGAAACTCTAAAACAACTACGTATTTACGAGTACGACGAAATTAGTTACCGTGACGCCATCTTCTAGCACATAGGTACGCGCCGC